ACAGAAATGATAACGAAAATCAAATTTCGAATATATAATAAATACACGCCGTATTTGAATTTTAGTGACGTTTAATCAGTTATATATATATATTTGATTTCTTAATAATTTCTATTTAGTTATCAAAGAAAAGCTCGAGCAAAATCTGAAGATTTTTTAAATAATCAGTGTGAATAAAAGCAAGAAAACGAGACTCATAATATTAATAATTTTTGTTAAATTTGTGATATTTAATTCAAAGGTTTTCGGAAAGGAAATTATCGAGTTCAATACAAATTTTTCGTCAGTGTATGAGAATGACAGCGTTACATACCCGCTTCTCGGCAGGAATCGTTCCATGACCACATGCTAAAAATGAATTTCTTCAAGTTGAAGACAATATATTTTTCGGATGTTTAACGAGTCCTTGATCTCTAAGAATTTCGCTAGCTGTTCATAAAAAAAAGAAATACAGTTGGAAAGCATACATGTTCAGTGAGACAAAATTGCGAGGATCGAAAATACAACGCTACATTGCGTAAAATTCAGCTTAATACGAACTGAATAGGCGGAGTATTCGTCACACACAAATTAAAAAAATTAGATCAGTACTCACTGTAGTTAGTGACAGAGTGCGCATTTTCTCGTCCGTCCGTGACTTCACGTCACGGACTTGACGAGCACAATAGCGCCTTTTTTCCATAAATAAGAAAATGCGCTGAAAAAAGATTCGTCATCCCTATTTATACTTTCCCCAATCGTGGCTTCTTGTACAATATTACCTGTTTTTTTTTATTCACTATCCGCGATACAGCGGCCATTAATCCTGTTACGAAACCGCGATGTTGCGACAACATGAAGGAAAGGTGAGTCAGATAAAAAAGATGTGTTACTCAGTACTATAATTTCAGGAATACGTGCAACGTTGTTATTTACATATTTATACAATATATGTATTGACAGTATTGACCGACCAAACACGACAGTCCCAACGAAGCGGCTGATTAGACTCAAACTCACCACTTTAATATAACCGCTCTGGGAGTCGAGGATTAGCCAAAGCTTCAACGCTGATGGCACCGTGAAGAACAGCAATGACCAAAAATGTGTAGGCGATGAATCATACAATGCATAGAGAACGAGCACCACCATGTTCACTTGTTCATAAGCCAGAAGCGCAAAGATCACAACCGAAAACTGTGAGTGAATAAGGCCTGCAGTTCGATTGCAGGAAATCAGCTTCTTTTTGATACGGTACAATGAATTTGGTTTCTTAACACTCCTCATCTTTCTACTTTCAGGAACTATTTCAAATCGCGTTGCATTATCTTCGCAAATTCGTATTTTTCTTTCGTTAAGGGTCTCGGATGAATAAATAATATCTTTCACGGTGTATTCAAAAGATGAGGATGTTGACGTTAGCATGGCATCAGTGAGGGTAGCCAACTCACAAGTGAACAATTTCATTACTATGGATAGAAATAGTGCAATGAAAAGGTTTAGCGAAAGTAAAGCTTCCAAATTTCCAATCAAAAGCAAGTTAGACGAAAACTTGTCACCCGTGTTGATGTTATAAATAGGGGCGTAGACCAGAGATATCACATTGACCCCGATTATCCCATACGTGATCCAGTCAACCGGCAGCGGAGAGGCTTTGGAGCGGTTCAAAAATCGTACAATGCTTAAAAATTTGGTCGATGTCATAATAAAATGCCAGGAACATGTCACCATGACAATACCGAGTGATCGATCCCAGTAATTATAGAGATATTCATAAATTTCAGAGTTTGGCGATGCGGGTTTCATTAAAAGGAAAGCCACAGTCAAGACAGACGATATCGTATGTATGGAAAAACTCAGTCCTTGATACACGAAATATTTCTTACACTTCCCTTCGACGTCAGCGAATGGGGCGAGTCCCAGGATTCGTAAGTAACGCAGCAGCCACAGGAACAATCTTTTTTGATCACCAAGTATTTTGTGCGTTAGCGTCATTATGATGGTTATAATTCGCGCTCCAACTTCAATGGTCAAATACAAGAAAGATCAAAAACTGTGAAGAAATTTTTAATGTGTATACTGCAACTGCGACTGAATAAATCAAACTCTTATTTTTTAGGTGAAATGACTCGTATGAAGACAGTTTTTAAACCTCACAAACGACGACGATTTTCTATAGGAGAATTATGCGAAAGTAGACTCGGTTGAAAAAAAATGTTGTATTGATGTTTGAAGGTGGTTTTATAGGTTTACTCTCACCATTTGGATAAGAAAAAATGAAAATTTTTGTTCCATTCTGGATTAATAACCACTTTGTAAAAATATTCTCTATAAAAGGAGCGATATAGTTATGAATGATGGCGTTTTTTTCCTATAAGTGTTCGAGATGTGACACCAAGTGGCACTCCTGAATCCCATAAAGTGAGCTCTATAGTCTGCAAGTTACCACGAATGCCATTTAAAATGATCTAATCTCTTAAAAGCATACAATGCAAGATTACTATCGATGGACTTGTGTTAGCAACGGATGAAACAATTCCCCCTTGACACTGCATCGTTTGTCCATTGTTCAGAAGTAGCGTTTGCTCAAGAAATCATTGAACTAACAAGAAGCTCAATTAGACTAATGACTACAAATAATCTTGATCTCTAATCATATTTATTAAACGGACAATTTCAAGCTTCTGTATCTATCAGTCTTACGAAGAACAATTCAGCTCATTATGGCACCGAATTTTAAATGAAATGTTAAGGGGCAGTAGTCTTAAATTACTTTATAACAAAGCCACAAAGGAGCATATTGACCCACGTGCCACAAACGATCGTTAGGTTTGCACAAAGACTCATGGATTCTCAAACTCTTCGCTCAAAAGCGACCAATCACCACATGCTCTGCGTGAAAGATGTGAATTAAGATCGATGAAGTTGTCGTCCACGAATTTCATAATTTTATTATTTATGAAAAATAATCAAATTCAAATCAAAACTCAATTAATAGACGTCCAGACAAGTATCCTCTCGAGTGCCATATATCAGAATTAAATTTTACTGTTTGTACTGTTTTGTTTATCTAGGACTTCTATTCAGTAAAATGTTTTATGCAACTTTTTTAGTTTTAGCCTTTATTCTTAATCAAATTTTACGTTTTATTCATGGTTCAATTTGCACGGCATTGAAGGCAGCCGCCGCAATCAGGAAGCCATTGAGAACCTTCGTACAAGAAAACTGTGCATTCTGTTTCATTTTTATCAGTAAATTTTGCTTAGAGCATATTGTACCACAAAAAAAAAAACAGAAAATACAATTAAATATAAGTGTTTTAAATGCTCTGAAGCAAGCAAATTTAAGCTGATAAATGCAATTTAATTAAGAGATTCATTTGCTTTATGTTTTCGAAGTTACATGAGCGTGAGCTATAGCGTGCAGATGAGAACGCTATTCCTTCGCTGGCTTATTTTAATTCAGAACGGTGGTTCATAGAGCTGTGTACCTCAAGTAAATATGATACCATCTACGCCATTGACTACATTCCTAACTGCAGAAGACAATCAGCTGCAAAATTCATGTTTAATCTGTGGAGCAGAACGGATTCCTCTTACTCGTTTTAATTCTGGAGTTGAAGTTAAAGTGAATACAATCCCTTCATTACTTTTCCGACAAGAGTTATCTAAAGAACACGAAACAATGAATGACTCGAAATGTACCAAGAATACGAATTGCAGGGGAAGTTAGGACGCTGAAGTTGGGCTATTGCACTGCGAGTTTCACTGGCCGAGGGCGTCCTTGGTAGCCACAAATATTAGTGGTTAGGTATTGTTGATACGCTGGAAATGGCGTTCAATGGACTAGCAGACTACTGTATCACCGATTCATTTATCACCGAGTGAGTAAAAATTCTAAATGAGTTGACTGCACAAAATTAAATTAAAGTTCTGTTTCTTCAATTCAAAAACTATTCTAGTAGGATAATTATTATAACTAAAATTTTTTTAACGTGAACGATGATTGTTCTTTGCCTGACGAACCTCAGATTGGCGATGAAGTTGTCTGCCGTTTCGAGACGCCATATATAGGGGTTTGTCCCATTTCGTATCCACAATACCGGACTTTATAAAGTCTGGTCTCAAAATTCGTCTTCATCATCGATTTTCTATGAAAATTCGATTGAACTAAAAATCTTTAACAAAATGGCTGGTCTCCGAAGACTCATGGAATGCTCTTCCGTGTCGGTCTAAGGCATGTCGGACTGGCGAGGCTCTGGTGACCCCAGTAGCTGGGATCTGTTCTCAGTGATGGTCCAGGGTGAGTCACCAGAGCTGAGCCGAAGCGAGGCGCCGCCCCCCAAGAGGGGGAAGAGATTCACCGCATTCTTGCGGAGACTCTTTTGTGGCTGTTGCAGGCCACGCGGCGAGAGCGACGGTGGCCGGTGAATGGTAGCACCCAATTCTTGAGGAGTTGGGGCGCTGCCTTCACCTTGCTATTGCTTAGCTCTTGGGGGAATGTGGGGGGGTCCTTAGGGACCCAAACAATAAAACATCCTACATGCAGGGAGGCTACGATCACTAGAACACCGTCAATCTCAGGTGCAACATTTGGCCCACGTCAGGTCATTTGTCATTTACGGAACATTCAACACAACATGATCGTCATCCCGTCAATCTGTTATGCCTCTGAACAGCGTTCCCAAAATTTCTTGAGCGACTACAACTTTGAAGTTCCTAACAGTCACAGGACTTCTCGTTACTGATGATCTCATTTTTGTCAGAGTTCGTGCTTATTTGAAGCCCTGTGCCGTAGGTAAATGGACGCTGTTCGATCACGATACTTATACTGTCGGGATATTACCTGGAACTGGTAATTAATTCTTGGTGAAAACTATTTTGCACCGATTAAGTTGAATTTATAAATATCGACAACTATCAGATTAGCCCGGCGTTACAAGCCTTGATAATTTAAGCAGTTTTTGAATCCCAAGCTCGTTAGTCCCGTAAATCCCAAACCCAAGTTAATAATAAAAAGAACAAAGCTTATTGATTATATTTAATGAAAACATCACACCCACATTTTACATAGAAGATTGTACTTCATTTTACACTCGTTTCAAAAAGTAAAAAAAAACTAGTTTGTGCTTTTTAAATTAAATTTATGTCAAAAATTTCAAAATCTAATATCAGTTTTAGATCCGGTGCCAGGCTTTTAACACATGCACACTTGAACTTTGTTAAATAAATATTCATATCATTGAACAACGTTGAAAATTACTCAAAATAATGGACGACAGAATACGAAATCCAGAAGCTCATTTGAGGAATACAAATATTGAGCAGCAATCGCTTTTTCCTGCAGCCAGTGCGCCTGCAATCAGAGTTCTGTAATAAATCTTATATTCGAGATAGTACAAATATATCACACAGGGCCTTTTTTATAATAAATGATGAACTTTATACCTGACACAAGTGAGTTAAACTTTGCCAAAATGTTGTAGCGTTCCTGAGGAAACTTCTATTTAACGGATTATACTGAGTATTTTGAATAAAATCTATAAATTACTAAACGAATAGTATTGCAAAATGTGCAGGGCTGACATATACTCAGTCAATATGGTGAATATGGCTACTGGAAATATTTTTATTTAATGAACGCGACGTGTTTACACTCAAACCGTCAATGGACGGAAGGCCACTAATGCCTGCACTACAGAATTGCACATACAAGTGATGATGGCGAGTTGTTGCCCTTCTTTTCCAAGTTGTTGGAAATCTTTGGTGAAGTTGAATGTTTCTTGCTTAATTTTAGGTAACAATTTGTACCGTGTAGCTCGTTTCAACATAGAAGAGCCAGTTAAGATACGGGAAAATATCTAGGCATTAGTGGAAACAATTGTCTTCCCTTACAATCTGAAGAATTTGTTACTAAAAAATTTACACGATAAACCCTGATTGATATTAACTATTTTCAGGACAAACACCACAATTGTCACTTCGACGGTGCATTTTATGTACCGCGTCACGTAAATTCAGAAGATCTCCAAGGTCCATAACGTAGCACGACGTATCAGCAATATCATGTGTAGATTTCAATCATCGCATGAAGCATTTTGCTTATTTCTGTTTTATGGAATCTTGCCATTGCATTCGGTCTCGCCAATATCTTCCTCGGTCACGACATAGTTTTCCTCGGACTCCTCATTATTTCCGTCGGTCTCGCCATCATTACCCTCGGTCTCACCATCATCGTGAACATGGCCACTATCACACACAGTCCCACTATCATTGCAGAAAGCATCGCTTCCCCCTTGAGGTTTCCTCAAATTAGGCACGTAAGGCACATCCACAGTTCCGTCTGTCCCTACAAGCGCTATTCTGTACTGCTCCCTGACGGGATCATCTAAAGCATGACGCGACATCTTCAGTTTCAGTTTCTCGTGATTATGAGTCACAGACCAGCCCTTTGGCATGAATTTAGGCTTCATCGTAGTCAAGAAATTTTCACGCCACAACTTTTCGAAATGAATAAGACCTATTTTCTCGTAATATTTGAAGACTCGCAGCCCGTGTGGCTCATAGGAAACATTGAAAATCGAAACGTCTAACTCGGCGGCTTGAGCAATCATTTCGTCAGTCAATAAATCTGTTTTGAAGTAATCTTGAAGTGTTTTACGTAGCTCTGCTATTCTTGTAGGAGGTATTTGCGAGTCTTTTTTCAAGAGCGCTTTTCCTGCAGACTTGATAACTTTGAGGTCACCGTCTGTGATAACTTTGACATCAGTGGAGTTGCCGATGGGCGCGTCGTGCTGGTCAGCGAGCTGATATCGAAGAACACCATCAAGCTGATTGCTTAGCTGATGACACTCGGTACACAGCAAGACAACGTCGTGATTCTGGTGAGACTTTAAAATTTCGGGGAAATATTTGCGATATTCATGAGGTACAACATTTTTGCGAATATACGACTCATCTTTACCGCACACCACACACACGTTCTGCCTCTCATTCAGGTAGAAATACCCGTCAGCGCCTTCCTTCTGCGGCCTGCCAGTTGGTTCGAAGTTCAATCTCACAATGAGAGGATCTTCTTGCACGACCTCACCGAGGTCATTATCAACGTACCAGTACGCTTTTTTGGGGTCCACGGTACACAAGGGTTCGTTATCAGGTGCCCACAGTACGCTGTTGTGGTACAGAGGACTCTTGCGGAGGCTGTAAGCACGTCGGTAGCCTTTGCTCTTCTGTTGCTGGTTGTTGTTCTCAGAATTAATAGTCTTTGGATGCTTTTTGCTGCTGGCTGTCATCCATCCATCTGTAAATACAACATCTTTTACATACCATAACATGTAATTCGTAACACTAAGCATGCCACAACAAGCATGAAAATCCTCTCACAAACGCCATTAAAAACTCAAACTGAGTAAGCAATAATCCTATCAATAAAGAAGAAACTCTTTTCTCTAATCCACGTGCAGGATTCGATGTGATGCTTCAACAGATGGAAATTCAAATATGGCATCTACTCATGCCAATGCCATATTTGCAAATGTACAATGTGGCAAATGCCACAATAAAAGGAGCACAGTTGCCACTTTCGTTTCGACGACGGACTATACAACCGTAGAGCCGCGAAAAACCTGTCCAGCATCGCAATGCACATGAGTCAATGTTTCCTCTTACATTCTTGATTATCACTGGCCAGCATTAGAAAAGATTAAACTGTGCTGAGATCATTTTGGTTGGAAAGCACTTTTGAAGCTATTTAAAAAAAGGCCGTTTTTTCTAGCACGTCTAGATTATGAAATATTGGCATTTTAAAGTAAAATATTTCTAGATGTTACAGCGTGAAAGTATCTGCCGTTACAAACAGCACAACAAACCACAAGAACACTACTGATGTAGCTACTACGGGGCCTGGTTAGTACTTGAGAGTGTTAGGTATAGTTTTGATCAGATTCAGATTTAATAGTACTAGTAGTAGTAGAATGGTTTGCTAGCGCTTCAGCCATCAAGCTATTTCGCGCCGGAGGTCAAAATGCAACATCGCCTTTAGGCGGAAGATTTCAATTATTCAAAATCTCAAATTATTCATCACCCACAAGGAGCGGAAGGTCTCAATTGTCCAGCCCGCTGACGCTGGCTCGAAAGAAGCAGCGTAAGCATCTTAAAGAGACGAAGTGACAAGGAGGGACAGGTGAAAAGCAACAGAAACGAAGACACTCGAACAAGAGGTCGCTTACACGGGACGTCGGCCGCCCGCACGAGAGAGACAGAGAAGGGAAATGTAAGGAATCCTACCTACATAATAACTTAATGTAAGGAATCCTACCTACATAATAACTTAATGTAAGGTATCCTACCTACATAATAACTTGATGTAAGGAATCCTACCTACATAATAACTTAACCCCACAACTGAGATCTGCAGTCAGACACCGCGAGCTCAGCGGTGGGGCGCTCAGGAACAATCCCCCTAGGAGCGCGAAATCCCATATAGGACTTCTGACGCGCACAGACACACGTCAGAAGTCCCCCCTGAGGGGTTTCAGATTTAATAACAATTCGAGGTCCTGATTGTTCTTCTGAAGCACAAAAATCAATACGGTTCTTCTTCGAACTACCGTTTTTTATGTTTATTTGTGCATCAAGTCCTAACGTAGCCACAGGCACCAGACACTTAATATTATAATTAATTTTTATCAAAGTACGGAGGATCGCTTCGATTTAATACATAATTATAAATGTCACTTAGAAATGTGAATACTTCACAAATTTTACATGCTAGAAAAAAAAACAGAAGCAGTTTTGTAATCAGCAGCAAAATTGCTTTGAACCCACACCAAACGATCTCAGAACCATTTCCCCTGCTGGCCGACCAGTGCTATCGATCACTCGTCATGCAGGGAAAGCACCAAGGAAGTCCCATTCAACATGAAAGCTTTTGTGCCATTTCATTGTCACTTTCGTTACGATCTCCTAAACCATTCGCCGTTTTTCATGTTAATTTTTATTATTTGAATAGAGCAACTACATTACGGATGAAAGCTTTTTAACTTGGGCTCAATTGAAGACATTTTTAATGGTCCAGCTCATCTATCAGTAAAAAAATCCAGTGCTATGAATAAATGCGAAGCAAATAAGTGAATGTTAATGCAGCTTAAGTGTTGCGCGTTATCAGACAACAATATAATCTAGATACTTCATCAAAATATTGGCCTTTAAATGATACAACACATTTTCGACTTTTTATTGGTTGACTTCAACAGAAAACACGGCAAAGTTCGAAAAAAATTTTTTAACTATCGCAGGTACTTTCCTTTCAACGAATAAGCTTTGTAAACACGGTGAACTTGATAGACAAAGTTTCAAGTGTAATGGATTGAGATCAGCTACCCTTATCATGAAAACTCAACAAATGGCAAGCAATAACAACGATGGAACTTTGAAAGCACCAAGGTCTCAATTTTGAAATATATGATACGGTACCTTGGTGTCATATTTGAAAGTACCAAGCACCAAGCACCAAGGTATCATATCAAAATAAATAATTTCCAGTTGTATTTATTTACGGCTCAAAAATTTAATTCCTTATTGATCCCAATTTCTTCCAGTTATTCAAAACACACGAGTTTTCCATTATACGTCACCATAAAGTAAACCGACATTAACTTTGGTGCATAAGCCAGGACGATCATTACACCGTTCAGTTAAATCATGAAGATAACTGACAATAATTTAGCTCAGTCGGAATAGAATTGAAGCGGGGCAAAGTAAGCCATTCATGGGAGCTGGAGATTCGTTCCTGGCAAAAAACGAACGGTGGTCTGGCATCGAGTATCAACGAGAGCTTTCGCCCAATTCTGCAATGTTTCGTTGTCTGGGCGGACGTCGGCTGCCGGGATATCAACACCAAGAAATTTAATGTTATTAGGAAATATGAATTTCATATTAAATGCGTTAAAGGTTCGTTAAGGAGACTATACAGAAAAATTTTAAACATAGAATTTGAGACGTGTTACATGACCAGTGATAAGGACCAAAGAAAATACAAGCAAACTCACATTAAAACGATACGCATACAAAAAATAATAGAATAAAAATTAAATAGAATAGTAGATCACCAGACAATCCAGCATAAAATTATAGCAAAAATTTCGTATAAGTTAATCACGCATAACAGACGAAAAGTTCTTAATCATCTCACTGTTTGAAAGACATAGAAAATGTAATTGAAACACAATAATATTATATTGACAAAAAACTAGATTGTAAGTAGCAGGAAGCCCGGGACGAGTAAGGAATTTGGAGAACGACGCATTCAAACTTTCGCTTAGTAAAAATGTGGACCTCATTAAACTATTATTAGAAACTTAGAAGCAAATTCAATTTTTTCATAAAAAATGCAAGAAAACAATGACATGGCCTGCAGTGCGTCTTGATTCCAAAATTAGAATTAAAATTACAGCTCCTGGTAATATCTCGACAAAATATTAATTGTAAACACGTGCCGTGATAAAACCATTTAAATTTCAAGTGACAAGCTTCAAACACACACACACACACAAGCATAACAACACAAGCAGGCAAAATCACAATTATGAATAAAAAATATAAAAGAGACAACAATCAATTTGGCAAAGTTAAAATGAAACTTGTTGACCAAATAGAAAATGATGTTCCGGGTGGCGCTGCTCCAACTGAAAATGAATCCAAGATTAGATTAGCATGGCAGCGTTTTAAAAATTATTCTAACTATATTGCGCATGGAAATATGAATTGCAAATAGTGCATAAAATATATACAATTCATGCATGATAACCTAGATTTTTGACATCCAATAACACAAAAACCAACGAAGAAGCCTTAAATCCAGTACTACACTGACATCCAATAACACAAGAACCAACAAAGAAGCCTTAAATCCAGTACTACACTGACATCCAATAACACAAAAACCAACAAAGAAGCCTTGAATCCAGTACTACGCAATACTGATTATTAAATGTCAACATTAATGTAGTAAATGTGAGCCACGAAGTGAGACTCAGCAGAATTGCCACGATTTTCACTTGCTATCAATGCCATCAATTTTTATTTTGTCTTAAAAAACTTAACTCATTTGGAGGCTAGCTTCCTGTCATTTGATCTTCAGTCAACATTCAAGGGTTAAGGCAAAGTAAATAACTTTATAATATTAATTTAATTTATTAATTAAATTAATTAATATTATAATTTTTAATATTAATATTATAATTAATATTTATTAATTTTTAAATCAACGTCAATATTCAACCAGTGCAACTTTCCGTTTACATGGATTTTCTTCCTTTGATGGAAAAACTTTCTTTTTTTTTGTACCTATGGGTTATGTTACATTCCTGAGCCAGGTTTTTCTTAGCTCCAGTACCGTGAGTTATTCTTTTATTTCAGTAATATTAATTTATTAATAATAACTTCATAATAAAATAATTAATTTCAAGATTACCTGGAATGTTGAACTTTTACTTTTTGTCGTCTAAACCATCTTAAATACTAAAAAATATAACTCGGTACTCACTGCAGTGAGTGACAGAGAGCGCATTTTCTCGTCGACGAAAACGTGAAGTCACAGACGGACGGACAGACGAACGGACATGACGAGCACAATAGTGCATTTTTTTCCATAAATGAGAAAATGTGCTAAAAATACTAGCTTACCTGCACAACGGAGACAGTAGACTCATGCTTAGCAGGCTAGGAATATCTTGAGTTGTCACAAGCAATTCAAGGATGACTAGGAAGACGTGCAGGCCAGAACGTGCGTCTTCAGCAGCATAGCAGATCTGAGACATAGTACACTGTTAGAAAAATTACCGTTAACGGTATTATACCGGCGTTTAAGTGGCCGGTCGGCACGTAAAAAGAAACACCGTGTCGCCGTTTTTATTCTAATTTAACATTAGAAATCCGTAAAACATCTGATAAAAACGGCGAAACAGTTTATTTACACGGGGCGACCAGCCACTAGAACGCCAGTGGGACCGTTTTTTCTAACAGTGTATAAGGAGATAAGGCAAAGGAGGCAGCAGTTTACGGATGACGGTAGAGAGCATATAAAAAATTATCTACCAATGAGAAGCTCCTGAAATCGTAAAAAATACATGTAAAAATCACCAATGTACGCAACAGAAACAATACAAAATGAATGAGAGGCTATCGCTTAAATTTTGACTACATACATACATGTACTTCAAATGGGAAAGAATTGAGTTCAAAAGAAGAAAAGGTTTACAGAGCAGAAGGTGAATATTTATATTTAAATATTATTAGCCATTAACCCCGATTGAAAAAATTTCCCCTTCATATATGATTATTTTACCAAATTTTATTTTATTCCATAGCCTTCATTGATGTACCCGTATTACAAGCTTAATATGATATTATTTAATATAGTTTAGGAATTCATGACATTGTGTCATTCATGTGCAAAAGTTCAAGTCACGCCCAGCAAGAATAATTTTTCCCTCTCCAAACTATCATTAAATGTATAGGTGCATCAATATTTTTGAAGATCCACAATTAAAAAGTGATCAATAAAATCCAGTACAAGTCAAAAAGCACTTTACAGTAATTATATAACAGTATACACTCACAACATTTGCCATCATAGCTATAACTCGGTACTCACTGCAGTGAGTGACAGAAAGCGCATTTTCTCGTAGACAAAAACGTGAAATCACAGACAGACAGACGGACGGACACACAATAGCGCCTTTTTTCCATAAATGAGAAAATGCTCTAAAAATGAACTATGTTGTGTCACCTGTCTATGAGATAGATGTTCTGCCTCCCAGTCTGAAGCTCTGACTCTCCAGTCCTTATCCAGAGAGCGCTTGAGGTAGTGTTCAGCAAGAGCACTTAAACCAAGTTTGGCAGGACCTTTCAACCCCACGAAGCTCACGCGAGGATTGTTGTTAGAAGTAACAGTAGAAGGCAGGTCAGCAACTGCTGTTGATTTTGAAACTTTATCTGGTAGCATAGTAACTGGCAAAGGTTTAGAAGTCATCAAACAGACATCTTCATTTGGTAGTGAATTCGTGACTACACGTTTATTTAACGACTTGCCAGTGGGTGTGGACAAATTATCACAGTTTAGTTTCTTTGTTATATCTTTCAATCTAACAGGGTCAGTTGAAGAATTATTTGAATTTTTATCAAACGACTCATGAATTTTAGTAGGGATTGAGCAAGAAGTATCTGGCTTTGAGCCATTCAAGTCAGAATGATTTTCAATGTTGTCTTTTCCATCATTCGTTGCTCCAGAGAGCTGGCATTTCTTCTTCTTCCTCTTCTTCTTAGGTTCCTTCACAGCTTCATTAGAGGCAAAGAAAATTCTAAGATCCACAGCGCCATTAACCTGAAAAGAGGGATGTAATCAGCTTGACATTATTATTATATTAATTGACAAAAATTAATATAATTAATTTATTTTTAATATATTAATTGACAAAAATCTAACAGAAGTTGTTTAGCTTCACTACAAGTTGCAAGTTACAAGCATCACAGCTAATTCCTTTATAAAAAAAGGGTATATTCACCAAAGCAAAAATATTCATTTTCCATCTTATAAATGTAACTCCTACCAACCTAGTGCCACAATGCATTTCCATTTAAAATTCACCCAACTTGACTGTAGGTATATCTGAAGCAAAAATTATCAACTTTTGCAGGCAGATGTACACAGACTTCTTGAAAATTAATACACATTAGAATACATAAAATGATTTAAAAAAAACAGAATCTACTAACACTAATTGCCCAAAAAGAAATATTACCACAATACCACGATCCTGCAGCAACAACTTGCAGTCCTCTGCACAGCCCACTCCTATCTTTAGTACCATGGGATCACGGAGCAGATCCTGCCAGTACAATTGATATTAGATATAAATCCTGCAGTACAATTGATATTACATATAAATCCTGCAGCACAATTTATATTACATATAAAACCTAACTGAAAGTTTAGTTACTTGCAAAAAATGTAAAGATTGCCTCCAATTAAGAAGCACTTTTATTTTATTTTCCTTTCAGTAAAAATCCATTAACAATGAGGATCATGTACCATATAGGTATACTTTTAAATCAGAGATGAAGCCACTGTCCATGTTTATTTCAATTAAAACCCATTTTCATAAAATGTTTTGGAACTTAACCCTCTTAAGCCATATGCCACTCTCCAGGAACATAAAACTTTCAACTTAAATTATATGTAAACTATTGAGTGTACAAGTCAATGAGGAGGTTTGTATGCAGCAGAGAACATTTTAAAGTTGTCGTACATGGCGGTAACCATCAGTGCAAGTCATTTTGTGCTCACTAGAACATATCCTTTTCAGGAAATAAATGTGTGGCAATATTGCTCTGGTTACACATGTCAGGCAGTAAAAAGTTAAATTGAAGTACACTGTTCTATACTGAAAACTTCTTGCTCGAGTTGAGTCCTATTTAAAATGATTGCATACATCTAATAATTTTTAATGCCTCAAATTTGCAGAAACTCTAGAATGAGATCTTACCAAAAATTTCTCCGAGAGATCAGTCAGTTGGGAAAGTCTGACCAGGACGCAAAGCCCGGTGTGTGTCGCCAGCTGCACAAGAGCCACAGGGCGCCTAATGCCAGTTCCCGTCACCCACTCACAATCAAAGCCTATGCAACCAAGGGAGTAGCTTGAGCTGAAAAAAAGCATAGGACAAAAAGTCTCAGTACAAGCCATTGATATTTAATTCATTAATAAAAAAATTAATTATAATTAATCCATAATATTTATAATTCATAGTTATTATCATAATATATTTATATATGTATACATTATTATTATAATATATTTATAATAATTATTAATTAATTCATTAATAATAAAATTGAAATATATTAGAAAGTTGAAATTATTTCTTTGTAGTATATCATAATCAACTTAAGGGTCAGTTAGACAAGAAAATAGTGTTCAGCTCACATAGGATAAAGCATTCAAGAATATTTCAAACCTGCAAAAATTTGCACATAAAAAAAGGTGCACCAATGAAAGATGAATATACGTAATGAATCAAAATAAAGTACCATTTGAAAAAAAATCATCATATATATAAAGAAATATACAAATTATATCCTAGCTTTTTCACTTAAATAGATTTCTTTACCTGAGTAACTCTTTTTCTATGTTTGCCCATGACTTCAAGTCAGCCACCACCACAACGCGGCGAGTGGTGCTGTGCACGCATCTATTCAGCCTCCACTTCCATATTGCCCAACTTATGCTTTGTTTATTTTGAAATAAATAATAACCACCAACACCAACTGTAAGAGCAGCACTGGCCACAAGGGCAGTCTTTCCTTTTGAGCACATTTTAAGGATGACTAGAGAGCAATTATGCTTGGAAGTTTCACAATCAAGAACTTCTCTACATCAGATAATTGAACTACAGTGGGCAGCCTTGACCATGAATGGCTAAATTAGAGTGAAAATGAAAGCTGAAATTGAAACTGCACAATATAAGAATAGAAAGAGAATTAATGGCTTACCAAAAAATTCTTTAATATAAAACCAAATGAAATAATTCATGTATGATTAACAAGTGTGTTCATCAAAATCAATTAAAATCTTTAAAGAGGATTCTTATAAATATGTAAATTCATTCACTTTATTTTCATTTTTAAAAGTGCTTTTAGGGTTGCATTGAGAGCCTCAAACTTACACAATTGAGATTCTGAAGCTTACACCTTGCACAGTGGCCACACCCTAACCTTCATAATAATTGGTAGATTTTGATAATTTTGATTAAAAGGAAACATAACTAGATTAACTACTCCTACAGTTCATTTCTATGTTATTGAACTGAGCAACCTGAAAGATGACTGAGCAACCAATAAAAGTAAGTCATTGTCATTTTTTCAGTCATTGATGGCATTTTGAAACTGACAAGTAATTAAGAAATTTCACTTCAATATTCATTTTTTAACAAAATCAATTTCAAAACCACCAATTTCTAGGTGAAGTTACGATGGATCCACATGGTCAGTTGGATTCTTCATTCTGAGCAGGAAATGTAAGTGCTCCAGGTTTATACTGTTGCAAGGGGCCTTTCCAAGGGTTTAGCCTGCCGCAAGTCGAAACTTGCTGGAGAGCATAGTGACAAAGCACAGATTTTTTAGAATCAGTTCATTTTTAATTACCTCATTTACATTTTACTCACAAGTCACAATTTAAACCAATTTCTTTTGTATGATAATGCAAATTCATGCAGGTATACAGGATACTTTCCTGGTCTACATATAGGAAAATAGGACTCAAAAATGAACTTGAGGCGAGTTGAGGGAGTCTGGGAGAGTCTAAAAAACTCTGCTTTGCCACTATGCCAGAGAGTGTAACCAAGAAACAGACCTCCAAAAGAACCTCCATTCCTAGAATTTCACTATGTTAACCTAATTACCTCGGGAGTCGGGGGTTGTCCCTCTTTACTCCATCGCGCGGAAATGGCTGCCATTTTTTTGAATGAGATAGGCAAATTCCGTCAATTACATTTACAAGCCGACACCTGGGTGCAACTTTTATGTAAGTAAAATTTTTTTGCTCCAGACCTTAGCAGAGGTATTTTTCCAAAATCTAGTAAAGTATCTTGGATACCAGAATTATCATACATAAGAAATCTGTTAAAATCTTGGGTAAATGAGGAAATTAAAAATGAACTGATTCTAAAAAAATCACTGGTTTGCCACTATGACCTATGTGTGGGACGCATGTGCCGATTTACCCCGCCCATCCCTTTTTACCCCGTTTGACAGTTTTATTTCAATGCTGTTACATATCTGATTTTCCCACCAAAGCCTATTCCAATAAAGACTGGGAAAGTTAAACAAATGAAGGGCACCACAGATTCTCAACAAGACAACAACCTGCAACAAGATCAGCAGTGTACAACGGAGTGAACAGAGTTCAACTGACTACTCTACAGACTACTGTCTAGTGTCTACTGCGTAGTGCGTACCTAGTTGGCGCTTGGCAGCAAAGAGTACATATGCTATGCTGAGTTGCACCACCAAAACAGGCAAAACTAAGCAGGGACGCAAACACGTTCAAAATAATTAGCGCCAATTCTTTATGATGACAATAATATTACAGAGCATGTTTGAAAGGCGACCGTATGATCCGTAGGTATCCGTATGCTACACCTGGTCNTAATTTTGATTATTCCTGAACTAGCGCATTGACGGCAAATACTTGTGTTCCAAATTGCAAGCAGATCCGTTTAGTATCGAAGGAGTTATGAGTGGTTAGGTTGCTTGAAACACGTTTATTCGTGCTAATTAAAATCTAATTCATGTAAAAATCTGTAATAATTCTTGCGGCAGAGTATTGATAATAACTACATATATTCCAAAATTCAAACAAATTCATTCGCCATCAAAGGAATTGTGAAGGTCTCGGTGGCTCCAAAAATACGTTTATTGGTTTTAATTAAGAAATAATTCATGTAAAAATCTGTAATAATTCCTGCGGGAGCGTATCGATAATTAATACTCATATTCCAAAATTCATACAGATCCGTTAAGAATTGAAGGAATTATGAGTAGCCCAGTTGCTTAAAAAATACATTTATTGGTTTTAATTAAAAAATAATTCATGTAAAAATCTGTAATAATTCCTGCGGCAGCGTATCGATACTTAATACTCTTATTCCAAAATTCATACAGATCCGTTAAGTATTTAAGGAATTATGAGTGGCCCAATTGCGCGAGTCCACCGGCGAGTCCGCTGTCGAGTCCGTAGAATTGTCGACCGAGTGAGATTTGAACGAAATTTTGAACATACAAACCTAACCTCCCAACGCCAACGGTGATGTTTAGCTCGTGACAAATTTATCGATTTTCCTTTCATTTTCAAGTTTTTTTTTTCATTTCACCTTCATTCCTGAGTTATAGGGCAATACAGGCCGAAGTTCGCAGTGACCATGAAATTTCTTCTAAACTACAGAACAGATTTGAACAAAACTTTGAATATACAAACCTAACCTCCCATTGGTCATATTTAGCTCGTGTCAATTTTTTTTAATTTTCCTTCGTTCGCGAGTTATACGGCTATACGTATACGGCACTTTGCCAATGCAAATTTACAATCGGCCTCTGTAATGCCTGTCGTTTCTCCGTATGCCCGTATAACTCGCAAACGAAGGCAAAATCGAAAAAAATTGTCACGAGCTAAACATCACCGCTGGGAGGGTAGGTTTGTATATTCAATGTTCCGTTAAAATCTGTTAAGTAGTTTAAGAGGAATTACTTGGTCACTGCAAATTTCAATCCGAATTGCTTGTTTGGCTTGTTCATTCAATTTGCACTCTCTTTTACTGACTTCACTGAACTGAACTGAAATTCGGTTATTCTCTGGCACGGATCATAAAAAAAATGCGAAAAGAGTTCCGAAAACGGCACAGTAAAAGGTTAAAAATTTAGAAATTTGGGACCACGAGCACGAGCGTCCGCTCTCGACCATGGCTTAATGGAGATGCTGTTACATATCTGATTTTCCCACCATAGCCTATTCCAATAAAGATTGGGAAAGTTAAACAAATGAAGGGCACCACAGATTCTCAACAACCTGCATTCCTGCAACAAGATCAGGGCTGTACTGACTACTGACTACCTACTCTACTGTCTAGCTACTGCATACCCTAGCATAGTGGCAAAGCAGAGAATTTTTTAGACTCTACCTCAAGTTCATTTTGGAGTCCTATAAGTAGACCAATAAAGTATCCTGGATACCAGCATTATCATACATAAGAAATTGGTTTAAATCTTGAGTAAATGAGGAAATTAAAAATGAACTGATTTTAAAAAAGCTCTGGTTTGCCACTATGTACCCTAGTAGTTGGAGCTTGGCAGTTGGCGGCAAAGAGTACATATGCTGAGTTGCACCACCAAAAGTCAAAACAGGCGAAACTAAGCAGGGACGCAAACACGTTCAAAATAATTAGCGCCAATTCTTTATGATGACAATAATATTACAGAGCAAAGAGAGCATGTTTGAAAGGCGACCGTATGATCCGTATCCGTATGCTACACCCTGGTCGTTAACGGGTTAAGCTAAGAAAATTTGAAGCAGTGAGTTGGGAGTTAGAGGCTTAGTCCGCTTAGAGCATAGTGGCAAAGCAGAGAGTTTATTAGACTCTCCCTCAAGTTCATTTTTGAGTCCTATTAGTAGACCAGTAAAGTATCATGGATACCAGCATTATCATACTTGAGAAATTGGTTTAAATCTTGAGTAAATGAGGAAATTAAAAACGAACTGATTCTAAAAAAGGCCTGGTTTGCCACTATGGCTTAGAGCCCGCAACAAGCAAGCGCCAAGCGGGTAATGTTCTGCGCTGCGTCTGCGACCTGCGCGGCGCCTGCAATGTTAAATCAGCGACAGGCCTACGACCTAATAAACGCTGAAATCGCTATATATATAAACTGTAAACAAATTTGAATTTCCACTACAATCACATGGCGGAGATCCTAAACTGTGTACTTCTTCGATATTTTCTACACTCCATTGATCAAATGGCAGAGTCACTTAACGACCTTAGACGACCGCAGCTAAAACCGGAATACCCTCCGTTGCCAAGCCCACGGATAACTGCTGCACTACACGACTGACGACAATCGACAACTCACAATCCTCACGCTGCCACTCGCAAACTCGATCGACAATTCTACGGACTCGCCTGCGGACTAGCGCAACTGGGACACTCATAAATCCTCAAATACTTAACGGATCTGTATGAATTTTGGAATGTGAGTATTAATTATCGATACGCTGCCGCAGGAATCATTACAGATTTTTACATGAAGTATTTTTTAATTAAAACCAATAAACGCATTTTTTAAGCAACTGGGACACTCATAAGTCCCTCAATACGGATCTGCATAAATTTTAGAATGTGAGTATTAATTATCGATACGCTGCCGCAGGAATTATTACATATTTTTGCGTGATTTATTATTAGGTTAGGTTAGGTTAAGTTAGGTTAGGTTAGGTTAGGAAATAATTCATGCAAAAATCTGTAATAATTCCTGCGGCAGCGTGTCGATAATTAATACTCACACTGTCTCTTATACACATCTAGATGTGTATAAGAGACAGGAGCAAACTTCACCTGCTGGCGTGACTTGCTCCTTCCATACCATCATAACCCTACTAACCCCATTTCATGCCGTGCTAACTGCGGGTGTCTGCGGTTTGTTGTTTGTATGCTGGCCCAAGTGCCCCATAATATATCTTCCTAAGCCGTGCCCAANACTAGTTTTTACACTCTAAAGGCTGTCTCTTATACACATCTAGATGTGTATAAGAGACAGGCATAGTTCTGTTCCAAAATTTATCGTCCTTCGACAAGTGGCCGTTCGACTGAGGGCTGGTTCGACCCACGGCCTATATACGGACGGCTTGAAGTGTTAAAGGCTACGTTCCGAAAGGCAGGATTCATGATGGTCCATTTACTCCGTTACAATTTACATCCATGGCAGTGGTGGTCTTCGGCAATCGGCAGGCGACCCGTTTGTTATTGCTGTTGCTTTTCACCGGAGTTATAGTAAGCCTCTCACGATGTGTAGTTGCCGGATTAGGTTGAAACACCCTGATCTCGAATGGACAAACAAATCCATTCCAAGGGGCCTGCGACTCGTGGGTAACGATCTCAAAACTTAATCAGATTTCGAAGTTTGTTGTAATTTTTACTTCATTTAGCGTGTGATTTTTGAAGAGAAGATGGTCTAACAAACGTAGACAGAAAATACCTGCCGATAAAGTCGCGGTCGCTACTCGCTACCGCACTCGTATCGTCGGTCCTCATTAGAATTTAGAAACTATTATTTCAAAACTAAACAGCATCTTTCGAGTTTGTAGCGAGGTCACAACAGCTTTGTAGAGTCGTTGTCTTGTCACTTGTCACCTTGTCAGGTTATTGAACCGTTAACCGTACAAATCGTTATTTTGACCATTTAGCTAAAGGTATGCGTTGTTTAGACAGTTTAGTTTATTGACGAGCGGCGAATAAGTCGCAAATGCAGTAGGCACTAGCCTATAACTCTGTAACTTGTAAGTGTATAACTATATAGCTATCAGTTGGACTTTGATGGCGTGGCGACTTTTTGATTGCTTTAGAAAAGGTTGCTGCTCAGTTTTGTTAACAAAAATCATAAAATGGATGAGTTCTTTTTCAGGCTGGCAGCCTGGCAACAAAGATCACTGTGGTAAAGTTGGTCACATTAATGGCAAGTGAAATCAATAGTAGGTTACTGTAGGTATCTATTTATTCCAAATCATTTAATTGAGCTCCAAGATTTCAATGTTAATGAAGTTATGAGCTTATGAGTTATGACTACAAGTCTACAATCAAAATATTTCTAATTTTTTTAATTTTTCTTCGAAATGTATTATTAAAATGTTGCTCTTAGCCACTTACAAAAACTTATATTCAATTTTATTAGAATTTAAGCATTATTCTTACTTTCAGATTAGGTATTAATTATAAATTTACAACATTTTAACTTGCATAGATTCAACTAGAATTAGGCCTAGGCCCTATTTTTTGTTGTAACTTATATATAAGAATTATCTGATGTTTTCAGTAGCGAGTACTGAGTAGTGGGCACTGGGCAGTGGCAAGGTAGAATTATACTTTATACAGGGTGTTTCAGAATTAAGTAACCCCTTTAATTTGTTAATAAATAAAAAACTAAGAACGTTATGAAGTTGAAACTTGTTTTATTTAAAAGAAGAACATTTTCATGGTAATATTGTATCATAGTTACGTCATTATCCTGTATAGCTTGCTAAATTTGTGTTTAATTATCAAGCCTTAAATTTTCATCATGATTCGCTACAGCAAAGAAGAAAGAACAAAAATT